TAGAGGGTAATTTATTTTGTTCATATAAAACTAAACATTTTATCCCAGGAGTCATTTTGATCAGACAAAACTTATACATCAGATTAATTAATTAATTTGAAATTTTGTCACTTTAATTGTACATAAATGTTAGAAAACACACACGTTTGCATTTAAAAAAAACAAAACAACTGATTGATTATTGCAAATTGATTTTGGCCTTGAGCAAAGGTTAGAACTTTAGTATAACTTTTATTTTTATCATTGATGTATAACCATCCACATGCTTCATGTAAAAGGTTCTTTTTTACTTGTATGTTCACATGTCCTGTCAAAATATAATTTCAAAAGACCTCAAAAGCACTTATTTTGATTTCCTTACATGTATTTAAATATGAGAAAAGCCGCTATAAACCTCAAAATGAGAATTGGCCTTATCTAGCGGTCAGAAGGGGAATCATGAGGGGGGCTGCTTACCTCGGGGGGGCGTCAGTTGACTTTTATCCACTATATGATGCCATCAGACCAGTTGCATGTTAAAGGGTTAACAGCTACGGTTTTAAGGAAGCCTGCACATGTTTATCACGAGTTCTTTATGCTGATCTGCAGCAACAACACAAGAATCGGTGTTTAAACCCACACATGCTGTCAGTGGCGGCGTGTCCGTCCGTCAGCTGCAGCCTTGGTGGAAACATGTCAGTAACATGCGTAACAGAACCTTAACACAGAACCTTAACAGCTGTGGAGCTGGAGGTAAACACGACATGTAAACTGTTCTGAAAATAATCCGCTAACTCTTCCTCTGTTAAATATCTTAAATGAACACCTACGATCAATATTCTGTGTTTTATTGTTCTATGAAAGCGGCGCTCTGCAAGTCAGGATGGCCGAGCGGTCTAAGGCGCTGCGTTCAGGTCGCAGTCTCCCCTGGAGGCGTGGGTTCGAATCCCACTTCTGACATAAACGTTTTGGTGCACACTGCTTGATAATCAATTTATAAATAATTAAAACTCGCTGCTGAGAGCTATTCACTCTATCGGTAACTAGCTGCGATTCTTTATTGTCATTTTTGCGCTTATTTCAAGGACGCGCCCTCGACCTGCCCCTGAAACAGCAGAACAGGAAACCTGCAGCTCGGTGGTGTCCTCAACAAGCTGCAGCACCTGCTGCAAGATATTTGATCACATGCACGTTTAGATTTTACTGTAACAGACCCTGATCCACAAGTTATAATAACTAACCAACAATGAGTCCATACATGTGATAAAATGCATATGTATTTACATTTTTAAAAAACTATTTTAAAGCAAAATCACAGGCAGCCAAGACCACATCCATTTTATTTTTTATTTTTATTTTATTCTTATTTTTTTCCCCACCTCAACAGGAAAAGCTCTTGTTTCCTCCTCAACATTCAAGATAAGCTTTATTTGTCACATTTAGACACGGTACAATGTGCACTGAAATGTATTTTGTACCAGCATCCAGTTTTTAATCAAATAAAATAAATAAAATAATAATAATAATTATTATTTTCTTGCTTATTTCTTAATATTTAGTCATGCTGTTTGGAAACCCGACTCACCCAAAATGAAGAACTCACATACTTTTGTTTTCAAGTCCACTATGAGGAATAAATTCCCAACTCAGGACGCGCATTATTCTTTTATATATTTATTCATTTTGTTGCCAAAAAACACATAAAATAATAAATCTGCTATTTGGAATTTATAGGCAGCATTCAAACAAATATTAAATGGTTTGGAACACATGTGATTTAGTTGTTTGTACCCATGAGGACATGTTCATGCATTTTTTATTGGTTAACATTCAACCAAATACATTCAGCAATAAATACTCATATGTGTTCCATTAAAGACAGTGAGTAGAAATGCTGAATAGGGGCTTTATTGTCAGTTGTTGCCTATGGGTTCATGGTAGATTGGAGGATGTAAATGCTCAGCAGGATGCCACAGATTCCAGACATCCTTCAAAATGTCAAGGACGTGACATCAGTGTCGGCTCTGCTAACAAGATTACCGACATCACATATTTGTTTTTCTACAATATGCATGATATCAGATAACACTGGAGAAATATTGCTTCAAAATTAAAGGGTTATTTCAAAGCAATCGGATCATTACAGAGCAATTAGCACCAAAAGAAAAAATATGACAGGACTTTGTATCTTAAACTCGCACATTTTTCTAATAAAATGAAATCAGCAGCCATTCTTGAAGTAAAACAAAAAGAGTGTAATAAAGGCCAAGAGCTGACTGACACCCACAGCCAGCATGGTCTTTGTGAGTCAAAAATAAATCCTGCTGGTTTTCTAATCTGTCTCTATTTAACCAGAATTTAAAGACCCAGTTTTAATGAGGACCAAGTTTTTTGACAATGTGGCGCACTGCGAGAAACACCAGACAACGGCTAATGTTAAGTGACAATTTCACCTTTATTAACATGGTGAAGGATCATTAGTAAAGGTCAGGGTGACAGGCTGGAGGAGGTTTTGGTGCTCAGGTGGTGACTGTAAAGAGAGCAACACACACACACACACACACACACACACACTGAGAAAAGACTCATTAAATCACAAGGACGTCACCGCCGTGAATCACAGCAGCTTTCTGTCCTTCAGCTGTAAAGGACATACGCTCAAGGTGATTTAAAAGCACAACATTTCAATGAGGTCTTTTGATAATTTTTGATTGCCTATTTTCACCATAAGTTATTAAAAAAAATCTTTATTGTCAATGTTTGTGTTAAAAATAAAAGAGCCACTATTGTATGCATTGGACTTTAAAGGGAAAATAATCTTTGACTTTAATAGATCTATAGAAGCTAAAGTACCCACTGGAGGTTTTGTAATGTCTCTGAGCTCTATTATAACCTGGGTAAAGTTATTTCAATGACCAAAACTTTGAGGTAATAATAGTATGAATTGTAGGGATAAAAATAATAATAGCTGCCTACTATTGCCATAAAGATGATTCATTTTCTAATAGGACATAAAGAAGCAGAGTTTCAGAATTTGTTCTATTTGGAATTCATCGTAAAGTTTACTCATATAAAAGGTATTTAAAAGGCAATTTAAAGGTCAAGTTTGGCACTATTTGATTATTTTTTACAGTCAACAAAACACATAAAAAGTCTGATTTAACTTCTTGTTCTGTAGACTGGCTTTGTTGTCCAATATATATTTAAAAACAACTCTACACTGTAAAAAAATAAATAAAAATCTGTTAAAAATAGGTCTTAATCTGGCAGCAAAGGTGCCAGAAAAAAATACATTTAAAAACAATGGATTATTGTAAAGCTCAAAAACTGTAAAACTGGTGAAAATAACAACAAAGTCTTTAAAAGAATTGTTTTTAGCTAGAATACAAGAAAATAAATGCAGGAAACTAGAATAATTTTATGACCACATGGTGTAAAAGAATTTTTTAAAAAAAGTAAAAATACAGACTTTAAATGTGGACGTTATGCGCAGTTTTGGCTACTTTTACTAGCTATTATTCAAAAGTATAATTTAAAAAGTTTTTATCTGTGATTTATCAAAACATGTAAAATCTGCACAAGTACATATTTAAAAAGTTTTAATTTTTTTCGTCCTCAATGTAAATAATTTTAAAAAAAAGCAAATATCTATAAAACAGCAATTTTTATTCTTATTTAGACATTACTAATAGTTTTGTGGCTACCATGTAAATTTACTTTTTCTGTTATTTGACAAGTTATTAACTGTAGTTGAACAAAACAGGGGGAATCTATAACATAACAATACATTGTTTATAAAATTATAGCTAAAAACAGTTTTTAAATGTTATTTTTTTACAGTGTATATCCGAAATTACACTTGAATAAAAATTATTTGCAAAAGGAAACAAGTTCTGGAGAAAAAGTTATGCTGTGTGTGTTTTTGTTTAATGTTGAGGAAAATGTTGTTAGTGATGCAAAATATATACGGGTTTGAAACAGCACAAAGTCTGCAATGAATAAGATTTATTAATTAGAATTAAACCAAAACCATCTTTTTCTAACATGTACCTGTTGCCTGAATCTAACCACACAAGTCTCAGGATGCAAATTCATCGTGTTGCTTCATTTACTTTAAGACAGACATAATTAAACCACTGATTTGCTTCTACTAGGAGGACAAATCAGTACTATATAAATGCAGTTTCTGTTCCTCTGAATGACACACAGCTCTGTTACAATAGACATCACACATACGTTTCCAGTGCCACATGGGTGTTAACCTGCAGCTGACTCACATTTGATAATTCAGATACATTTGTGACTCCCAATAGCAACTAATCTACCGAGCTTTGGCGGTTTTGTCGTTCTCAGAAAAGCGCAGAACAACACAAGCCTGATCCTTTAAGATTCTGATCTCCGTCTGACTCCTCGTTCCAACCCCAACCATCTGGAACCCCGATCAAGCCGAATCAAACGGCGAGAATTAAACCGACCAGCGTGCGCTCCTGGAAATCAACTCCTGGAAGGCAGGTGGATGAATAAAACAGGAGCCAGGGATCAGAAATTTGAAGTTTGTGAATTATTCAGAGTGGAAGAATGTGTGTCATCAGCATCGCCACCGTCGTCATCCCCTGAATTATCACCCAGAAATGTGCCTCCTATATGGCAGGTGTCTGATGTTTCAGGGGTCACGAACTCTGAGCACAGATGCTAATAGAGGAGTGAAAGCAGCTTTGCCTTTGCCCCAGCTGCTTGAGTGACATTGATCTTGCAGCAGAGAGACAGTGTCGTCCCTCAGAGACTGTATGCATGTAGGGAAGCTACATTTTCCCCTTTTCCCAGCATGGACAAGAGGGGGGAGAAGTTCACACAGCTTCTATTTTCTCATCTGTACCATCATTACTTACCTGAAAATATAATCTTTTCAGCAATCAAAACCCTGTGAAGCTCATGATGATGGCCAACGTAAAGGGGAAAAGTTCCTCATTTTTGAATCCTGGCAGTGGGGGAGGGTTTAAGCAGAGATTCCCACTTGCTTCTTACACAATAAGGCTGCTCAGCGAGAAAGCAGTTTGTGCAGGAATGTGCAGCGTTATTTAGTTTTCTAAGGAGCTAAAACCTGAAAAGCAGGATGTGGGCACAAGACGAGGACAGTGCAGCTGAAGGTAAGACTGGATAGAAAGTGGCGCTGAGAGACTTTTAATCAGATTTCTTGGTGGAGACACAAGCCGGGTTGTTTGTTTTGGTAAATCAGTGTGTGGAAAAAGAAAAAATCTAAATGGAGCTTAAAATGCTTCAATTTTGTGCAAATGCTTCAAAATGCAGGTTTTTCTGCTTAATTCAAATACCGAGCCTTCTTTCATTTGATTATTTCGGCACACTCTGATTTGTGACACTTAAATTCCAAACAGCCTTTGCATAAAAGCCGGATTGAATCAGCGCCACGTTACAGTCAAATATGCTAATTTGTTTTTGCTGATGCGAGTTAGATGGAACCACTCGGATCCATGGGCGCAGGCTTTGAGGATTTTCGATCGCTGCGAGGGACACATTAAGCGAGGGGTCAGGGGTTCCTCTTCTAGGAAATTGTGAGCATCAAACACGTAAATTCCTGTGTTCTGGTGACTCTTTATGCACCAGATTGGACCTTTTCTGTATCAGCTTATAGTGGAAATGTCTCAATCAGCCACCAGGTAGTGTCAGGTAGTGCAGAGAGGCTCTAAGGAATTCAGAATTTCTTTATAAATAATATTTACTCCTCTGGTTGTTTTTACTGAATGTTAAGCGTGATCTATGTCTTGCATCCCCCTCGGAAATCTACACCATGACGATAAAGTCAGCTGCCTTAGCTTAGCATAGCGTGGAGTTGTTTATACATTCCCATCGAAGGTACAGGTGGTGGATTTTTTTCCTGTTTCCTCGTTTTTGCTGTAGATCAGCTGGTTTAGCAACCAAACAGGAAATAGTTCTAGTGCTATTGTTTCACCTATCAGCACCTCTAAAACTCCCCAAATGACTTCAGCTGACACTAACTGCCTAAAAACAGGAGCTCATAAAGACAAAGCATTGTGGTTTTACTCAGGATTATGTGCAGCAGCTGGGAACTAGAGTGATTCTGAGGCTACCGAAAGCGAAACGTCCTTCTGCGGTTTCACTTCTCGTGCTTCTCTCGCCGAGGAACCTCACGAGGTTCCTCTTCCTGTCACGCCGAGGGGATGTGAGGATCTTGGGTTGTCTTGGCTCCCACTGAATCTGTTTCACAATCTGGCTGTTGTTCAAAGATAAAAATGTCATTCTTTCCCCTCCCCTCCTCTCCCCAGACTCTGACGATGAGATCTGTCTGTTTTCTGAAGATGAAGGAGACATTCAGGTATCGCAGTTACTGACACTGACACTGTTTTTTTTTTGTTTTTAAAGAGACAATTAGCATGAATCCTGCTCGATAAAGTCAGAATTTTTGACTCCCTTTGCTTGAGAAGTCTTGCATATTTAATTAATGAGATTCTATTATTATGAAAATAAAAGTTTAAAAAAATCACAGAATCAAAATGCTCAAATAAAGTAGGAGTGCACAAGCTTGATTACATTAGGACAAAAGTAATTTTGCCGCCTCAGCTGTCTGATAACAGGTAAAATGTAAATCAAAATGAGCAGCTCAATTCATTGTTCCATGATTGAGCTCTTTCTTCTGCTTTTTACTTCCTGACATTTGATTGTTAGTGCGAGATCCTGGAGAAGCAGAGGGATGAAGCCAATCAGAAGCTGTCTGAATTGGAGGAAGGTGAGAAATCGCATCACTTGTTCACGTTTACTTCACACAGAAAGGGTTTAAAATGTGTTGATCTGACTAATGAAAATGCCAATTCTCCTTTTGTCTGTATTGATATGAAAGGATCGTGACTGACAACTCTTTTTATTTTCAGTTTCCAATCAGCTCCTTAGAGAGATAAGTGTCCTGGAGATCCAGTTCCAGGTTGAACGCTCCTGCAGGGAGAGTGCAGAAGCGCTGGCTCTGAAAGTATGTCTGGGTTTTCCTTTCCTTTCCTTTCCTTTCCTTTCCTTTCCTTTCCTTTCCTTTCCTTTCCTTTCCTTTCCTTTCCCTTCCAGCATCGACCTCCTCACTCCACCATCGTCTCCTCTGTTGCCTAGGTGACCAAAGAGAACAAAAGCCTCAAGAGGAGGAGCCAGATGCTGATGCCGCTCATCCCCGAGCTGCCGGAAAACCAGCTTGCTGTGACCTTTGACCCTGAGACCGGCCCCCCTGTTAACTGTGACGTGGTCGATCTTGGCGTGGACGTCGGCGAGGAGACGCTGCTGCTCGATAATCAGGCCAAGATCACGGGTTAGCCGCTCATGATGTGAATTCTGTATTACAAGAGTGTACATGTGATGCAACAATAACAACCTCAAGAATAAGAAACTTTAGCTTCTGTTGCGCTACGAAAATAATCACTATATTAAATACTATTAAAGTCAATTAGCAGAGGAATAGTGCCTGTAAATGCAGTTCATTATTTGTTATCATGTTTATTTAATGTAGTTCCTGTGCAAACTTTACAGGATAAAACAAATGAAATGCTATTTATTCAAAAAGGGCGAAATCTTCAAAGTATCCTTAAAACAGTTTAGACTTCCAGACAGACAGCAGAGACATTTAATGATCATTTAATTGCACTCAGGATCTCATGCTGTATAATAACAGGAACACATGACACCTCTGAGGCCGGCGAGGCTCACCACCTAAATTAGACCAAAAGTGAGATGTAACGCTGTTTATTCAACAGGTTTCCCTCCAAAATCATACTCCATCCCTACAGGAGAACCGGCTGGAGAATAATTTTAATTTTAATGATATTCTTTGTCTCTGTGTGAGTCAGAGCTGCAGGCGTCGGTGGACGGTCTGCTGGCTGAGAAGCTGCAGCTCGAGCAACAAGTGGAGGATCTGAGCAGAGAGCAGCTTCAGCTCAGGGAGCAGGTACTGCTGTGTGTGTGTGTGTGTGTGTGTGTGTAGGTGTGTGTGTGTGTGTGTGTGTGTGTGTGTGCGACCTGAGTGAGCCTCATTACCTGTTTCTTCTCTCAGCTTGCTGTGGAGGTCGAGGAGAAGGAGGCCCTTTTGAAGAAAATGAGCAAACAGAGCAGGACCATGAACAAGATCAAACGAGGTAATTCCTCATTACAGGGCGTTCACACACACATACACACACACACACACACACACACACACACACACACACACACACACACACACACACACACACACACAAGGATTTTTTGTAATTAATTTATCACAGATGTTATTGACACAAAACAACAAAAAACGCCCTTTATAAATTCCTAGACAGTCTAAAACCTGCAAGTATTTAAAGGATCGTTTCACCCAAATTGCAAACAAACAAAAAGACGCACACATTGCTTTACAATTTGTTTTAGCTTTGTATGCTGAGATGTGACAGTATGTGTTATGTGCTTCCTACATTCCTTAATTTTCTGCGGATTTTGAAATCTATTAGGCAATATAAATTCTGCTTCTCAGTCAAAACCATAATCAAACCAAGTCATCATCAATATTTGTGACTTCTTTGTGTCTTACATGTGTGTATTTATCTTTTCTGTTCAGTGTCCCAGCTTGTCACAGAAGAGTTCACAGAGATGTCTCAGAAGCTGGAGCTGGAGCAGGGCCTCCGGCAACACGCCGAGGTCTTCGCCCACCAGGTGTGAGCACGCAGTGTGTGCACGTGTGTGTGTGTGTGTGTGTGTGTTTTCAGCATGGCACAAAAACATTTTGTCATGCATTCACACCTATAGACACTGAGGGTGACAGGTCGTGCCACAGGAAGGGAGAAGGAGTGTTGGCGCTGACCTTCGGGCGGCTGCGGCGGACAGACGGACACTTGGAAAAAAGGGGGAGGGACGGGATTAAACACACACACACACACACACACACATGGACATAAAGACACACACTTCCGCTGTCAGAGAGCAGCTGATGTGGCGGGACAGCAGAAGGGGTCTCCATTCTCCCTTTTCACACCAGTGACACTCTGGTCAAATCTGGGCTCTCTCTATGAGGCGTTCACACACACAAGACAAAAGCACACACGCACACTTGTACACAAGCGGGAAAAAACATCAATTCACTTAAAATCCACATACCCAAACACACACACACACACACACAACACAGTTTGGCTATCCCAGCTGCTCCTATAATGAAGGGCTTTTCTTTCAAAAAACATGCCTCTGTTCCCTTCCCTTCCCATTTAGCCCCTCCCTTCCCCATAATTAGTGGTCATCACTGCTGCTGAAGGAGAATAGTAGTCTTTAAGCACAACCTGTCTTTCCCTGACACCTTTATGTTTTGCTGAGCATATAGCAATTGTCGCCTTTGTGCGCGGTGTCCTCCATTTACTGGACAGGCGCACAATGGGCTGCCTCGCAGGGGTCCTTACCTGTGAAAAGGACCCCCAACTCTTCACACAATTAAGCCCCTTTACTCTCAATTCATGGTAAAAGACCCCCCTGCGCTGAATGCCTCTTGTATGCACTACTATTTGTTTTCATGTGTTTTGAAAACAACAACCATTCACACCTCTTCTCTGTGATGCATGGTGGTATAATGATGCAGGGCCTCAAACAGGAAACAATTTGGACCTTTTTTTTTTTTTTTTTGTATGTCTGTGTGTGTCTTTGTCCCTTTGTGTCGCTGTGTGTGCTTGTGTCTGCGTGTTTGTATGTATGAAATAATTGTGCTAATTGCTGTGTGAAAATTGCTCTCTGCTGAAGGGAGACGGTGTAATTTGCAGCGCAGAGCCTCGTGCTGCATGTGCTGACACAGAGCTCACCAAACCTGCTGCTTCGGTTTGTCTTTGTAGTAAAAAAAAACGCAGAAATGAAAACCACTTTGTGTCACTCTTCCCGTTTTCTCATCTGCTCTCAGACAGTCCGCACAATTTATCAGAGAGTCGGTTTATGAATCCAACACGAGCAACGCGCGCTGAGGTCACGTCATCTGTATTGTTGGGAGGAATTAGAGGATATTAGTGGCAATTATACAAAAATTCCACATGATGGAGCGGAATTCTGTTTTCAATTTGTCTGTTACTGGCAATAAAATGAGAACAAATTGAATTATTTATCTCAGGAACATGAAACAGCATGCATAGCGATAAACATTTACAGCTAACTGAGCAGTTACCAGATTAAATGTAGAATTTCACATTGAATTCTTCTGGCATCTGGCAACTCCTGGTGTCCCTGGATAAAAGAAAGAAAGAAAAATGAGATTTTTAAAGATTTTCTTTTCAGTATCTGTTGCCTCTTTTAGACCGCTTCTTTGTGTGCGTCATCTGTGGTTAGCTTTTATTTGATCAATTGCATTAAATAAGTAGAGTTTGATGGGCTGTATTACCCTGCTAGTTCTGGCAAAGTATCTCCTGTAAAGTGTCTGACTTGTGTCTCCTCTTTTATTTATTAGACTGAATTTGCGACTAAACTAGTTTTTCTTTTTGGAGATTAAAATGATCTAATCAAATCCGATCATATTTTTACCAATATACTGTATCGATATTTAACACAGTAATCAAGCATGCACACCTCCGAAAAGCAAATGCAAAGGAACAAAAGGTTTGTTTGATGATTGAGGAGCTTGACACACCAATTATTAACCACGACTGGTGTATTTATTTGTCGCACTATAGAAGAAAGAATCAAATTTTCCCAGTGAATCGAGGCAAAGCCTGACATTTTTCTTTCATAATGTAAGAACAATGATGTTTTGTCTCACAGCAGCATTATCCTGTTTGCATTGTCACCGCTCCTCAGCGAAGCCGACGAGTAACAAGGCTTCCAAGTCATTGTTCCACCGCGCACCAGTTTGAAAACATTTTCTCTGCATCGTGACAACCTCCTGGTGGGAGAAAATCAACAGTCTCACATAATTCTTTCTCTAATTGTGTTCCATTGTCACTGATGTCTGTCGCTTTTCATTTCCTTCCAAGCAAATGATCACGAAGATGTGTTCAAAATGTCAAAGGTGAAGCCAGATTTGGTTTGTCTCCGTCAGATGCTGGTGGAGCAGGAAGCAGGCCAAAGACAGAGCCTGATGGAGATGCAGAGCTCGAAGCTGCAGCAGGCCATGGAAGACATATCTCAGATCAGCAGAGCCCTGAGTGATGTACAGCTCTACTACCAGGACCAGGTGTGTAACACAGAGGCATGACAGCAGAGCTCCACGGATATTCCTGCTGCCACTCTTCACTGTAACTCTGTTCGTCAGATAAAACACAGTCAGAACGTGGTGGAGGAGAGCAGCGCCCGATCTGAGCTGCAGGACCTGAAGGAGCAGCTGGAGAAGAGCGAGGAGGACAGAAAGGCTTTAGAAAGTCAGCTGTCTGAGGCCAACAGCTCCGTCGCACAGCTCCAGGAGGAAGGTAGCAGCTCGTCAGAAACACTGCAGGAGATGGGTTAAAGCAAACAGCTGAATGTTGAAGGTTGTAGATGTTCCCTCTGAAAAAGTACATATGGAACACCCTTGTTTCCAGTGATATATTTGGAGGCGTGTTTCATGTTTACCTCATCACCATCACAGGGTTAGATGCTGTAGATCTATGACGTTAACCATCCTTATTGTGACTCTAGCTGCTGTGTTACTGACTAGCTGATTCTTAAGCTTCATGTTCTTGGCCTGCACTTTCTGTAAAATCCTTCTCTCGGGTGTCTCAGATGTTTCCAGCAGTCCTTTTACATTTAATAAGGACACACTACAACATTGCACAAATCCTCTGTCTCTCTGTTATCTTCTTTTGTAGTGAAACAGTTAGGTGAAAAACTAAACCGAGAGGATAGAACTGATGAAGCGGTTGAGAAATCCATTCCTGCTTCACCTCCACCACCTCCCCCTCCTCCCCCACCTCCTCCTCCTCCTCCTCCTCCACCACCCACCACTGACACCAAGTATGTTGAACTGAAGCCAGAGCTTCCTCTATCAGTCAAAGAATGGATAGGATGGTTTAAATTAATGTTTTTCTCCCCACCTTGACTGGAAAAAACAAAACAAAATATGAATATACATTTCTAAGATGTTCCTGCTGGTGTGGTTAGCATCCAGTGCTATGGTGTGAATTGTCCACTTGTAAAACACTAGCCTGCTGATTGCAAGCATTTAACCCCTGCGACCTCTTTCTCTCTGCAGTTTGCTTGATTTGCTGAAGAGCAGGAGGAAAAATGGAGCCAGTAGAGATGATCAGAACAGTGAGTCTTTCCTTTAATTGCCACACACACGTATAGACAAATTCATCGTCTGCATATTGTACATTATCTGTACATATTCTAGCTTGTTTCTTTGGTGTTTTTAGTTCTTTTAATGGTGCGAATAGTGATTTGATTGGTTCTTCTTGTCCAAAACATGTGTTTTGCATAGCTGACTGTGTGTTAACCTGCATATGACAAATAAATTAATCTGAATCTGAACATCACTTTGACTCTAAAGCAGAGGTTTAACACAGAGAAATTCGACTTCAATATCAGTCTTTCTTACTCTTCTAACGCTTTTCCTAAATCCCTGCTTTTGAGGTATTTTTTTTTCAACAAGATCCCATCTTTGACTTCATTTGCATTTACATTTGATGCAGCCAACGCAGTATATGTTGATGAATTATGCAAAAAACATGATTTCAAACAGTTGACAAAAGAAATGTTGTGTCTGTACAAAGAACAGAGCAGAAGCACAAATTTGCCTTTTGTTTTTTTGTTTTTTTTAAAGAACCAGCCCCCTTGTTGGACATTAAGGCAAAAGCGGTTGATGAGATGATGGAGAGAATAAAGAAAGGCATCGTCCTGAGGCCCTTCAAGAAAGTACAGGTTAAAAAAACTACACTGTGTAATTACTTTTTTTTTTTAGGGAATTTAGATGATCTTGTTTAAATGAACTGATATTAAAGCACAAAGAAATAACTAATAAACATTGTCTGATGACTTCTTGGCTCACAGGAGGACGACAGCTCATGGAAGGTCAGTTCATCTTGTATTAGTTTGTTTTCATATCTTAACAGTGTTTAGAGGAAGATTTTTTTATTTTTACCAAATTCAAAATCTTCTCACAGGACCAGAGAAGTGAAAACAGAAAATCAGCCATCGTGGAGTTGAAAGGAGTGCTGGTAACAATTAGAAAATCTAATTTCACTATTGCTTTAATTTTAAAACCTTTATGGCGACTTGAATCTGATCCATCTTTGACACACCAGGACAACATTAAAAGGCAGCACCTCCGCAGAGTGCCTTCCAAGAGGGGAATCAGCCGAAACGTCGGGGAGGCAGAGCTCCTGCAGGTGCTTCAGAGGAGGAGGAGGGCGATGGGAGAGAACCAGGACTCAGCTCAGACACTGGGTACGCTGACCTGTCCTTGTCCATGTTTATTTTCTAAAGTGGGCTTCCATTATTGTTGCTGTTTATTCATTGTCTGGTCTCTTGTGTGCAGAAATATGCTGTAGCACAAGTCATCTAGCAAATACTTTGCTTCAAGGGGCAGTTTGGTTGTTTATTAAGCTTATTGGAATGTGGTTTACCATCATTTATAACTGTGCCTGACACAACATCACAGATAGCTGTATTTTACAAAACTAAGAATCAAAATAATTGCCCTTTAGAATATATTTTTTCCCCAATGAGAAGCAGCAGCTCAGCAGTGAGTATCTGAATACTAAGAAAGCAGAAATTATGGAAGCTGTTGTACTGAGGATGATGATAATTCATATAAGATTTTGTGGCTTTTGAATGTTTCGCAGAAAACAACATGCTTCTATTTTGTACAATCATTTTTCAAGTGATTCCATGCTTTTGTTATTATTTGTTTGCATTTATATTTATTAGTGCTTTTTCATCCAGGTGTTGTTATATATGAAATTTAAAATGAGTTTAAAAATAAAGATGCAAGAGTATAAAGGAAGCATCAGATCAGTTCCAGGCCCAAACATGTGATGCTCTGCCTGCATTTAACTATCTACTATGTTTACAACCAGAACTAAAGTCTTTATTCTAACTCAGCTGTTAAAGCTCATCCTGTACTTCTCATTTTTTGGAATCGTGTCTGAACTGAGTCTGTGGTGATCTCTGGACAGATCCCCAGCCACGCTCGCAGTGCGTCCCAGCAGCAGGCGGCGCTCCCTGGGCAGGTGAGAGCAGCCAAGCCCCTGTGCTCCGGAGGCTGAAACAGAACAGGGAGAAGAGAGACTCTCGCATCAGAGCGTCGGCACTGATCGTCAGTCAAGAAACGTGATGGCAGTCAGACGAAGAAGTACAGCTTTTTAGATAATGTAGCTGAGTTATTATTATGCAGTTTTATACAATGATGAACCAAAGCTCAGTTTGTTGACCAAACTGTGCCTGTGGAGATGTTTTTTACCGTCAACTTTGCTTTGATTTGAAAGGAATCCTCTCCATTTTTGCATATTTACTGCAGTAATATATAAATGCATTGCTTCTGTGTTCCTTCTTTTAGTAGGAAACCACTGGTTGATCTTGGGGTCTATACTGAAAAGTTCAAATAAACCGGAGCTGTAATCATCTCACTCTCAGAAAACAGTTCTTGATGTTTGTTTTATCCTCCTAAGTGCACCAGACGGGAGGGGTAGATTGCAAACAGATATCAAATCTCACATTCATGGCTGGAGAAAAACAAAGAAAAGCATTTTTTCAAATGCCATTTAACCCGCGTCTGCAAAAAGCCAGTACTTATTGCGTGTCAAAGGAAATGGAGCTCTTTCAGCCGTATTTAATGGCCAACATCATTCTTTTTGGGAGCCTCGGTTTCAGCTGATCTAAGTGCAAGTTACAGGAATTTTTTTTTTTTTTTATGCGACAGAAAATAGTTGAAAAATAGCCTAAGCCATTAAAAAAACACTCATATGAATACCCTTGCGCACTTCTCTCCCAAGGTGTCTGTCTCTTAAAGCTCGATCCAGCAGAAGAATGGGAGCTGCCATTTATTTAGGCACATTAAAGCTGTCACACCCAGAGCCCCGAGGTGTTGTTGAGATAAGAGCCTCAGGTGATCTGTAGCCTCCATCCTGAAAGTTCTTTCAATGCATCAGGTCGCCTTTTGTTTTCTCACCTCCGCACTGATACTGTATGTGTGCACGCATGCATGAGTGAATACGTTCACCTTCACACCACGCTATCTACCTACCTACCTTTGTTAAAAGCATTTGAAAAGAGGATGAAATAACTCTCACCTTTGACTCTGACACCATTTTAGTGTCTTCACACTGTTTCACATTATATATTTACTTTATTTAGCTCTTTACTCGAAGGTCTGCCTTTTCACTTTCAGGCATACATTTTTTATTGTTTTCTTCCTCAATCTTAAAGGTGTCAGCTTTTGAGACGTATGTGCCGCCCCCTCCTTGGTTTTAAATCCATGCACATAAAAACAGCGTGAAAGAGAGAGTCCTGAAAACGATGCTCAGTGCTGCAGGTTCTTCTATTAGCGAGGCTGCATTCATGACTCACACAAATACAGGATCTTAATGGCATCAGTTCACTTTCTCTTAACATATTTTCCTTGACCTTCAGACGTCTGCATATTGTTAGATCGCGTAAAATCAATTAAATATTCATGTTTAATTGCTGTATTTAACAGCAAAGACATGCAAGCATGCTCATAAAGCATAAAGCTGAATGTCACACCCTTTAACCGCTGGTGACACTGTGAGAGGACAACGTTTCTTCTCCTTTTAAAAATTCTGCTCTTGTGTTTTCCAGGTTCCCAGCAGATTTGACTCTAGCTCTAATCATGGCTTTCACTCAGCCCACTTCTGGGTAATTTGTTTCTGACAGGAACTCTCCTAACCGTAACCTGTGGTCACCAAAGCGACGAGGCCTGATTCAAATGTAACTGAGACAAAGACGGAGCCTTTTGAGGTTGAGCCAATTTATAAGCCTCAGACCTTAAAACTATACTTTGACTGGATTTATCAACTCTCTACAAGGGGAGTGGCGCTTGCTATCAATAGAATTACACAAATATGCAGATTTATTTTCCAAGTATGGGTTCTGTGTTCTGATCATGGGGTTAGCTCTGGGCCAGGAGGGACACACTTTTGCACTTACATCTTAGCAAACACAGAAAACCAAAAGAATGTTGTTTAGCATTTTTCCAGACCTCTGAAACCCAAATAACATCAAGCCTATTCTTATTCCCAGGTCATTAAAGAAATACACACACTATTTGGCGTCAGTGCTACCTCCATCAATACAGGTGTTAAAAATGGACGAAGAAGGTGACCTTTTATTCAGGAGAATGAGCTCCATGCTCCATTATTTTCTCCATTTAGTTTCATTTTATTTTCTGAAGGCAAACTTCTCGTAGCCTGAAAAGGAGTGACGACACCAGCAGAGAATGTTTAGCCTCGTTTTGCATCTATTTCTGATGTTCACGGTCATCACATTACCCTGCATGTTGGAAAATGATACTTAAAGCTACCCGGTGAGTTCGAACATGATCCCTGGGAATTCTGACAAAGTGGCAGCATGTGACGTCCCTGAATTGTTCTGTTTGTGGAGTGGATGAAAAACATAGAAACAAACAGATCCTACTTTGCTTCACTTGACAGTTTGTATTATATAAAGACACAGTAAAAAAAAAAAAAAACCTGACTGAGTAAGAGAACTATTTATTACTTGATGTATTTGACTGATTGTAATTTTGACCTATATGTTGAGTAATAATCTTGACTTAAACAAAAAGGTTCATTAATTTACCTAATTAATTAATTAATCAAAGACCAGAAAATGAATCTGCAACAACTTCTGATACACGGTGGATCAGTCAGTGTGCTGGTTTCCCATCGTGGTAGTGAGCTGGTACATCTTTGCAGCACCTCATACCATGGAACAGATAAATGACTTTTGTTCATCAGGACTGAACTCAAAGTACGGGCTCAGGGGCACACTGCACTTCCTGGATAGAGAAAGAATAACAACAGCCTGTACAATTAAACTAGCAAACTTTAGAGAGGATGTCTATGGTGTGTGTGAGTGCAGCATTTACATACAGTGGCTCATATGAGTGTTATATAAACATACAGCCTTGAAAATAAATGTTAGATGACCTGCTGTGTTTTTTACACAACACTGACCGTTTAGTTTCAGCTTTATCATAATGGTGAAATAATGACAGCATAATTTTAAAAAAAAACATGAAAAAAGTCCTAAAATAATGAAATACTGTAGTAAACTGTGTTTTAAAATATTCTAAAAATTCCCACTAGACAGTGGAGAACATTTTTATGTCGAATTAACTAACAAACATTTTACAACTGCCCCAAAAATAATCTCAAGCATTTATTTCATGAACACTTCTGGTGCTGAACTAAAATTGCAAAACATCGTAGAAAGAAAGATGCAAGGTCACACAAAAAGCTGAAAAAAGTACCTAAAGAAGATGCTGTTAATTGAACTATTACACAGCAATTATTAATAAAACATGATGTGAGAGCCTGGCACACTTTTCCTTTTTCAAGAATGTATTTAATGCTGATGTCTACAGTAAACGTGAGTCATTTCTTGCTCAGCATTAAAACATATTAAATTGAGAAAGCATTTTAAAATGCTTTACCCATATTTGGCTCTAGGACTGAAAGATTTGGATTTGTGGCTGTAAAAAAATATTAGTTCACTCGAACTACAGCGTGTAGACCTGAACCACATCATATCACCGTACACACTGATCAGTGGGCAAGCATAGACAACCTCTGAAAGTTAGAATAGAATAGAATAGAATAGAATAGAATAGAATGCTTTTATTGTCATCACACACAAAGTACAACGAAATTAAAAGACAACTCCAGTGGTGCAAAATACAATTATTAAAGACAAATAAGAATCTATAAATATATTTTAAAAAGGAGCCAGGAGGAAGTATATACAGTTTGGTCTACCAGATGGAAGAATAAATTTGATGCACTGATGAGGTGAGAACACTGGAAAAATGGGGAATAGAAATATATAAATAAATAATTATAAATAAATAATACATAATGTAAAATATATAATATAATATAGAATAATTATAAATAACTATAATATAATACAGTATAGCATAATACAAATAATAAATATATATGATAAATAGTACAGACTATAGCAGGGATGTCCAACTCCAGTCTGTGTGAGCTGCTGTCCTGCAGGTTTTAAATGTTTCCATACTGAACCACACCTGACTCAAACGAATGGATCTGTAACTGTTTGTTGTCAAGTTCAACACAAGTCTGTTAATGATCCGTTAATTAGATTCAGGTGTGTTGCAGTACGGAAACGTCTAAAACCTGCAGGACAGTAGCTCACGAAGACCGGAGTTGGAGATCCCTGGACTATAGACTACTGTGCATTCAGTACCTGTATTGCACTTGAGTAGAACGTGTTGGTGAGTCTGGATGTGTGGGCCTTGATGGACCGGTTCCTCTTTCCTGCGGGCAGCAGTGAGAACAGGCTGTGCCCGGGGTGTGACCCATTGAAGGTGATGGTTCTGGCCCTGCGCAGACATCTGGTGTCGTAGATGTCTGACAGAGAGGACATCGTGCTGCTACGATGCTCTGTGCTGACTTCCTGACTCTCTCCAGAGCCTTCTTGTCAGCCTGAGAGCAGCTCCTGTACCGCACTCAGATGCTGTGGGTGAGGATGCTCTCTACAGAACACCTATAGAAGGACAGCAGCAGTTCCTGGGACAGGTTGACATTTCTCAGTGACCTTATGAAGTACAGATGCTGCTGTCCACCTGGATGAGAAGAGGATGGGGGATCCTCCCTCTTCTGCCTGAGGTCCAACACCAACTCCTGAGTCTTTGAGGAGTTGAGTGCCAGGTTACTGAGGGAACACCAGGTAGTGAGGTTCAGGACCTCCTCTCTGGAGGCCGTCTCATCATTGTTGTGAATCAGCCCAACCACCTGTGTTTATCTTCGTGTTTGGCCCCCTATAAAACTGTGGTGGCAAAATTGGACGATGCAGGAACAGCACAGTCTCCATAGTTAATGGGAAACACTGTTGTATGTATAATCTTTTATATTAGCTATACTTAATGCAGGAAAATTAACCTCATCTTTGTCATTTTTAGATGAAAATACTCCCTTTATTTATGGACCCAGAGATAGAAGCACCTGATGTCCTGAAACAAGCTGTCCAGAAAATAATAATTTCTATGCAGTTGCCACAACACAGCAGTGAAACAGTATTTGTGTTCGCTTTGTAGATTCAAAGATGGTCTTTCAGTCCTTCAGTTTCTTACTGCACTACAGCAGCACCCTTCTTTGCTGACTCCTGGCCTGCTCCACTCTGAAAAGTGACTCACTGACTTTGAACTTGAGAGACTCTTTAAAGCAGCGGTTCTCAAACTTTTCGAGCCACGACCCCCAAGATAACAGAAGTTTGTGTTCGTGACTCCCCATTTTGAGTTTTTAATATATCATGGGTAATAACTTTGTTGTTCATGCACTGATATTAAAAATGAATGTGTTCACTCCACAGATTAATCTCTTTACATCAGCTTTCATTTGAATGAATGAATGAATGAATTGAATTTATTTTATTTTTAAAAAATGAAAGGGAAAAATAATATAGCAGAAGAAGGAAGAAGTATGCACTTTTAATTTTGACAGCCCAAATACGAATTTATTTGAATAATGTAGGCTTTTTTTATTTTATTTTTTTACAATGATCTGGTGACCCCCTGATATGATCTTGGGACCCCCAGTTTGAGAACCACTGCTTTAAAGGACAGTTTTGATATCCAACCACAGAAGACAAAAGCCAATAAGGACAAAATTAATTGGCTTACAGCAAAAGTGGACGGGTCTTCTGCAGCTGCCAATCAGAGCTCGGGCCAAGGTCACATGATCACGAAAAGGGGAGGAACTTTGACCAGCGCCAGTTAGCAGCCAGCTAGCAGCCAGCTAGCTGTTTTCTGTATTATTTTCTTATTTTTTGTGTGTTGTTGCATATGCAGAGAGATGTGGTTTATTTATTTACTGAGCTGGCTGTCGTTGGTGATTCAAATATCCTTCGTCACTCTAGCAATAGGTAAGTTGACGCTGGAACTCCCTGCAGGAGCTCACGTACGTTGCTAATAATTGCTTGCTAATGCTAGCGGAGCGAGTCGGCAGATGAAGCTGCAAAAACAAACGTTAATGGGACTCCATTTAATAATCGATAAATGCTTAGCACTCATTTGAAAGTTGAAAACTGAATGCCAAAAAAAGCAGTAAATGTGCCTCAACGAGTTACGTGTGTTAGCTCACTGACTGACTGATTGCTAACTACCAGTTTAGTTAGCTAGCTTTCCAGTACAGGAAGTTGTTGGAAGACAAGATATTATTTTTTTTACTTTTCAGTAATGGCAATGTTACACAGTTTTAGGCCTCGTGCCTTAAAGGAGAAAGCAGAAAATGCACCACAGATGTATTTTTTAATTTCAGACTAGTTTTCTTGGGGACAGGGGAACCACTTCGGCTGGGTGTCATGCTTGCTAATAGGTGGCAAGCTAGTAATAAGCGTTATTTCTGTCTCTTTAGTCCTGTAGGGTTTATCGATAGGCACTAATCAACCAGTCGATTCATAAGAAAATAGTGTTGTGTTTACCACGTAGTAAAGACTTACTACAGTAACCACAAACAAGATTAGAACGCAAGCTAATGTGAACTAGCTAACACTGCTTCCAGCTTCACAAACGTTAGCTTTGGGAACTTTGTTTACATTTATTAATGCAGCTGGAAGATGGCAGCCAAACCTGTAGTCCGTCTGCAGGTCGCCAGCAGTGTACACAATAAAGTATAAAGTTAGTTGACTTAAAGCTTGGCAAGGAGCCTGTCTGTCCACGTTGCCAGTGAATTACCTGGCCACGTAAGAGCTGCTGCAGCTGTCAGGTGGCAGTCACACTCATACACACTCCCACTGTGTGTGTTGATTGTGTTTCTATTCTCTGCATTCAAAAAATAAGGAGACAATAATACGAGCTAAAACTGGAATATAGATGTTTTAACACTCCTCACTTTCTTTATAGCCATAGAACTGAATTCTAACGTGAGCTGTTAGGAATTTCAATGTGCAAAAGTAAGCTCACAGGAGTTACACAGGTTGTTTTACATGCTTTTTCTCATCATGCCTACTGTCACAGCAGTTCTGATTACAATACAATTATCTGCTTAGATATGTTGATACCGGTACTGAAAAGATACCTTAGTAACAATCAAAACATCAGGAAAAGTAATTTACAGATTACATTGTTATTATTATTACATTATAAAGATTGTAGAACAGGGTATATGTTTTTTTATTATTCAAATAATCCAAAATGTTTTGACTATCAATGTATTGCAGTGGAGGATGTGAAAAGACAGCACATCTGTCGGCAAGATGCTTTGCATGTGTTGGCTCCTCGGTCTGTGTAGTTTTGTGGTCCTCACTGTCGGCTATGGAAGCCAAATAGTTCCACATTTCACTTTGTGCAACTGCCTCATCCACAAGCTGTGGATGGTGAGCATCTGCACTTGAATCTGCAGCCATGTCTTCATGCTACGAACGCTGGCAACTACAATAACATGGTTTGCACACTCACTGTGCCTGCAGGGAGTGGAAGCAGAGCGCTACACACAAACACTAGCCCACTATGGCACGAGGATGTACATTATGCTGTTCAATTAATGTATGTGCACCAAAATAACTGGCTTAAGTGTAATTATTGACAACAGGATATTGTGATACTTTTCTGGTGTTGGTACACAGTGCAACAGCATAGAACAGCCTTTTTGTGTACCTAAATAGTAAAGCTGTAGACAAAGACAGTGCAGAACTCAGCTGCTGGAGTTTTAACCAGAGTGAACAGGTTTCAGTCCATAACTCCAGTTTTAACCTGTCGACACTGGTCTTTAGTATGTTTTAGAATTAATTGTAAGTTTCTTTTAATTACAGACAAGTTGGGTTGAACAAATTGGGAAAAATATGTGATTGAGTTTTTTAGAGACACGATTAACAACATTGTGTTTGAAGTCTCAGCTCAGTATTTATGGTGTAAAAGATTTAAACCATGCAATGGATCATTTTCACATGAGACTGCATAAAAATAGTTACTGCTGTACAATCTATTACAAGAAGCTTAAAAATATAAGTTGTTTCAAACATGCATTTATTGCATTTCTAAATGGAATAGGAGATTGAACAGTTATCACAAAAGCTGTGGCTGTATTGAGTTAAATAAACTAAAAATAATAGAAAATAAAATAATTGGAAAATATTTGGACTTTGTGGAAACACTGATATTAAAACATGTAGGTCTTTTATAACTCACAAGCAGCGTCTAAGCATTACATGTTCTACAATTGAGTAAAATTAATGAACAATAAGAAATAAACCCCGGCTGTGCTGTATCATGTATATCCTAAGATTCAGCCCTTGCGATTTGCTGATTGGAGGCAGTACATGGTCTGACTTTTCCAGTATATCTCTGTTCTGTTATCTTTGTACAACCCAGTTTGCACTTTGACATCCTTGAGCAGCGGCCTGATCTCTGTTCCAGATTCTCAATTGAAGACTAAAGGGGACAGAGCTTTTGCAATAACAGTCCCGAGGCTCTGGAATACCCTTCTCAGAAAAACAATGCAGACTGAGTCTGAGGTTTCTTTTAAATCTAAGCTTAAAATGTTTTTTTTTTTTTTTTAACAGTGCCTTCTGGTATTTTTATCTCACTCTAGATGTTAATTTGTTGATGGGTTTTGCACATCATGTACGTGTTTTTAATCAGGTTTGGCCTTCCCTCAACATATGCTCAGTCTGTGGGTCATGTCGCGCTACAGGGTTGTGTCATGTGTTGCTGGTGTGTCTTTATTAACTTACTCAATAGACTCATTATTTGTTCTTTCTTACTTGCCTCGCTTTGGCTGTTTGCTCAATCTAGACAATAAATTACATTTAGGGAACTGGCTTGTATGTCCTTAGCACCAACTATAGAAAGTGCTGAAAGTTGGTCTTGAATATCTGCTGAGATTCACTCTTTTCTTTGATCATTTGATATTCACAGATTTTTATCCCTTTTATAAATTTTTTTTCTAAAACCTTCAACTTTTGAGAACTACAAAGAGCGGTAGAAAACAAGTTTGTATTCCTAAAAGTAAAGTATTGAATGATGATTTTCTGTAGCTGTTATTTTGGTGGTGTTACTAAAACTCAAATATTGTACCACAACTAGTTTTAAATCATGCCAAGTACTATTGTTGACTGCTGTGTAGATAACACTGTCCTGGTAGTAATCAGTCACAAAAAACGATGTCATGCGTATTCTGAAATGTCTGTCCTGAAATTAACAAACTCATCTTTCTAACAATTTATCTCTCCTTTTTATCAGCCCTAAATATTAATTGATTTCCAGCAAAAGTGGCATTCAAGATAGTAAATGTAGCAGTGTTTGTGAAAGCAGTTTACCCTCTCATTCATGTTGTTTCCAGCAGCAGCAGTGACAAAGACTTCTGTCTCGGTTTTTGTTGCTTGCTCGCTCACCATCTTTCGTCTCTCCCCAGCGGCTGGCCTGTACTACTTGGCCGAACTAATAGAAGAATACACAGTAGCCACCAGTCGAATTATAAAGTACATGATACTGGTGAGTCAGTGGGTGGAGAATGATGTGATGCTTTTGTTGTGCTGTTGTTTTGAAGGATGTAATGAAATATGTAACCACCCACGTGACGCTGCTGTTTCACTGTTTGAACGTGTCCAGTTCTCGACAGGTGTGCTGGCAGGTCTCTATCTTTTTGAGGGTTTCCCAGTGCTGATGGTGGGAGTCGGCCTCTTCACAAACCTGGTGTATTTCGGCCTCCTGCAGACCTTCCCCTACATACTGCTGAGCTCCCCAAACTTCATCCTCTCCTGTGGTCAGTATGACAGACACTCGCTTTGGATTATTTCGCTTCGTTAAGACCAAACAACTGCAATAAAGACTACTTTAAAAATAGGAAGTTAATATAACAACAAGGATGGATGCTCTCTCATAATTATGTGCCACTCACAAGATAGCTTCCTGTCATTTAGCAAGCAAAAAATCCCAAATGAACTCATTAGACAGGACTCCACAGTATAACAGTTCTGTTTGTTGCTAAACATTTTTATCGATCGCAATGATGTACCAGGCATTTAAAAGGTCTGTGTGTTGTTCTTATTTTGCATTACAGTGACACTGATGTTGTATTAAGCTTAATGTGCTTTTAAATTATTTACTGTTGTGTACAAACCTGGCAGTGCATATATTAGTGATGTTTGTTCATTTTGGTTGAGCTCAGTCTTTGAAATCTTTCTTTTTTTTATTTTTATTTCCTAATTAGAGTCATTAGTAAATCTCAAAGTGTCTCTTCAAAGTCATTTATACACTTTATTGACGCTGTTACATCCTGGTGGTGTAATAGCGTTTGCTGAGTTCTTTGGCTGTATCCTGCTGTCACACAGCATTATCCCAGCTCACTGAGTTACTCAAAGCCACGTTATGCTGTTGAGTCAGTGCACATTATTTGTCAATGACGTGTTGATGAAATGCCTTTATTTCTTGTCCTATTTTACTTTTTACTAACTTGTTTCTTTTTGTTTGTCTTCATGCTGCAGTGTTGGTGGTTGTGAACCACTACATGGCCTTTCAGTACTTTGCACAAGAGTATTATCCATTCTCAGAGGTAATTTAGTGTTTGATTTGTTATACCTATGTGCAGTTTTGGTGAATTAGGGAAACATTCTCTTCCATCATCATTTCTCTGTTTCCTTTCTAATCTTTAATTTGCTTCTAACTGGCTTTAGGTGCTGGCGTACTTCACCATCTGCCTATGGGTGATTCCCTTCGCCTTCTTTGTGTCACTGTCAGCGGGAGAAAATGTGCTTCCATCCACCATGCAGCAAGGAGGTGAGATTCACACAGATTTCCTTCAGCTTTCTGTTGTTTTCTTTTGGTAGCAGTTAAAAGCTTCAAACCTTGTTTCCGTGCTCAGACACAACCCAGTCAGTGAGCCATATACTCAGCTCTCAAGTTTCCCTGCACTATGCTCGGTAACAAGTTGAGCCCTCAGGCTGAAAGTAGCCCGGCTAGCTCAGTCGGTAGAGCATGAGACTCTTAATCTCAGGGTCGTGGGTTCGAGCCCCACGTTGGGCGCAGTACCATTTTCTCTCATTTAAATGCTTTTCCTGTTTTCTAGTGCAATGTGAAAGTTAAGTACAGACAATTCAACCATATAGATTGTCTAATTAATGATGATTGCCCTTTTTTTTTTTTTTTTTTAAGATGATGTCGTGTCTAATTACTTCACCAAGGGCAAAAGGGGAAAGAGATCTGGGATCCTCCTCGTGTTCTCTTTCCTCAAGGAGGCAGTGCTGCCCAGCCGACAGAAAATGTACTGAGGAGCTGGGACTCGGGGTGCAGCCTCAGGGGTTCAGGGGTTTGTGAGTGTGTGTATGTGTTGGAGATCAACGGGAAGCAGGAAGGACAATGGAAATTGTTTCTGGATGGGACTAAAACGAAGCAGTGGTCGAAAAGGGGAGGAAAAGCACACAAAAAAGGACGGACCAATGAACAGATCAGAGCTTCCTGCTGGACGAGCCAACAAGTTTACACAGGCCATGTTCGTCTGTCTTTGTCTTTCTGTCTGTCTGTACTGACTGCCAACAACACCGACTGGAGACCTCGTTGTGGGGATCTTGTCCGTAGCGCAATGCTTTCTTATTGTCATGTTGGACTCCATTTTTTTAAGCTTTAGTATTAAAGTATGTATGTGCAGGGTTTGAAATTAACAACCACCAAATACCTGTAAGTTTCGACTTGGGTGGGTCAACCATTATCCGTTTTCTTCTTGAGATGACATCATCTGTCACGTGTGTGTCGTAGGTCTCACACTTCATCTAATTCAGTACTCAAAGTAGCACTAAAGACAAAATACAACCAGTTACAACTTTTTCTCTGACGAAAAGGACGGGCTGGAGATGACTGAGACATCTTAAAGGTACTTTATGGCTGATTCCTGCTGTCCATGCTTGGGCTGTGATGTGAAATGATCCTGGAAAGGATAGTGGATAAGATAAATCACCAACAGGAAAAATGACACAGGTCACTACGAAAAGGGCCTAATGGGATAATTTTAAATGAGCAATCCATAAAGGTGTAAGGACTCTGCAAAGACGTCCTGTCCTTTCCAGGGTGTGACATGGTTCACATGCTGCATCACATCACTGAAAAGGACTTAAATAAAGGCATTTATGAAGGTTTACTTGTAATCCTTAGGGATCTTCTCTACTGTGGATCACCAACATTCAGCCATAAAAAGGTGGCACTGGATTTGTGTTGTTTCCACCTGCTTCTACACATTCATTAATCACCAGCACTCTAGTGTGCGACCTGCCTGTGTCTCTCTTTTTTTTTTTGGACTGTTTGTAAGAATTCATAGTAATAACAAACTGATTTTTTGTACATTGATCCAAGAGCAACCTGACATCAACTAGAAATGTAAACACTTCTGAAGATCGAACCTGTGCAATGACTTTTTTTAAGCTTTCTGGTGTTGGGGGGGACAAAAGCTGCTCAAAGTGCTTTTATGAAAGACACATAAAAGAGGCCGAAATTCTTTTTACCAATTACTCAGTGTGATTCATCGTAGGCTGGTATGCACACACCTGTGTAATAAAAGATTTTGTCGAAATAACTCGTGGATTAAATGGTTCTTTTCACAGATTGGTGTTTCAAGGAAATGAAGGTAAAAATAGAGCTACTGATCGTCATTATTTCCAATTAAATCAGGTTAATGCAGCCTGTCACGATTAAGTTTTATCTATGAAGGATTTTCCAACTGTTGTCACACCCTGACCTCCACTCTGTCAAGCACGTGTGTGTGTGTGTGTGTGTGTGTGTGTGTGTGTGTGTGTGTGTTAGACTGTTGAGCTGGCTGACATTATGTTTTCAAAGTCTCATGTGGCTTGGTCACAGAGGGTGCACCAGGTTAATGCCACTGTGTACTTTGACCCCCACTGAGGTGTGAAGTGCTTCATGAAGTCAAGGAAAAGACAAAAAAAACCCACACAAAAAACAACAAGTGCACACACACACACACACACACCTTCAGCTGACAGGCCACAGCTTCAGTTCACACTCGCATGCTGTTGACAAGCCCTCACCTGGATCCTGATTCAGTTCCCTGGGGGAGATCAGTGAAAGTGCACAGATACATCTGTGACAGGTGACCCAGTTCACTGAGGTTTTCTCACCTTTCGCTCACCCGTCTGTTCAACCTGCTTCTGTAGGTGCAGCTTCTGGAGAGTGTGGCATTTTTATACCTCCTTGCTGGCACAGCCGTGGCCAAGGGCACGATGTTTTCAGGTTGTCCCCACGTCCCTCCATCCCATTCTTGTGAACGACAACACCTGGAGGAATTTCCTTACATCTGGCACAAACGTCCACTTAAAGTCAAGGGTGAACTGATGACAGTGTGGAGGTCAGAGGTCGCTGTGACCTCACAAAAATGTTTTTGGCCATAGCTCATTATATATCCAAAAGGTCAAACACTTTTCTGCCATTGTTCATCACTATACCTCTGGAGCAGCTTCTCAGGGAAGATTATGTGCAGACACTCAACTGGTGACTGATTTTGTTTGCCCCTTGAAACTGTGGTGATTGTTTCGATCTTTCGTGCTGCAGGATTAAAGATGAAGCTTCCATGGTTTAGTATCTATTACTTCTTTGCAGCAATGTCCATTTTCTAAGATTTGTCTGCTGTCATGACTGCAACTTTGCGTTCTGTCACTAATGGCTTTATTTGCCGGGCATGTAAACAACATACACAGAATGTGACTCTGTTCTTTGTTTCTCTCGATGAACTTATGCACTTCAAAGTCTTGACTACATATATTGTATAAGTCTGGATACACATGGATGTAAACTGCATCTTAACTGCTTGGTTTTAGGTATACAAAGTGAGGTGGTCATTCTGTTTAATTTGTCACTTTATGCTGAGTTTGTGGGATGGCGAGATATTTTGTCATGTATTTTAATAGTTTTTGATTCATTTATACATCGTTTTCATACTTAAAAAAAAAAAAAACTACAAATGTATTTTATATCTAAAAATGTAAATTATTTCAAAGCATTTGACTAACAGTTAAATTTTTAATGCATTTCTCCTGCACTGATCCACCAGTTTCAGAAGCCCCATCAGTACAGATTTGGAAGCTCAGTAGTGTCCGGGCTCCAGCACCTCAGCCAGATGCATGGCCACCTCCGTCCAGGGAGAGGTGCTCCGCCCTTGAGGGCATCCTCGGTGCGGGACCTCCACGATGTCCTGTGGCTCAAACTGCTGAGGGGAGGCGAACCTGGAGGGGAAGGCTCTGGGGAACAACACCCTCTCGAGGACATCCAGTGGCAGCTTAGGAGTTGGGTGAGGTGTGCTGTCCCACTTGGTGATGTACTGAAGTTGCCTACTGCTGTCATCCCTGCTCACTGTGACACTGTCCCGGAGGTCGGGCTCTCTGAGGGCCTTCTCTGGCTCGAGGCCCATGAAGATGGTCCACGGCCGGGGGGAGGAGACTGCAGGCAGCTCAGTGATGGTGCTCCTGTCCTCCTGAGGGCCTCCAGGACTGCACAGGCCTTTGGTGTTTTTCGGATTAGAGCTGCTCTGATGTGGTACGAGGCACTGAGTGTGATACTTGGTCGCCTGCATCCTGGGGGAGAAATCCTTCAGGGGGGGCAAGCCTTTCGTATTTGCCCACTCTGCCATCTTCTCATTGATAAGTGTCTGAAAAAAAAGGAAGTTTAAAGTCAGTGTCTGTATATGTTGACATAAATGTGACAGATGTATTTCTTAAAATACCACCCTGATGAGAAAGTGGCATACCAGCATGTACGATACATTTTATATTTGATTTATTTTGCTATTTGTTTGTCTTTAGCAGACTTTATGACAGCATGTTGGTATGTATATTATCTTCTGATTCTATTCAATTCTAGCATTATAACAATTATATATAGCCTGAAAATGTTGACGAAATCAGTTTCCACATCATGCAAACAAACCTTTTTGCTGAGATTATTCTGTTTGGTCATATCCACAAGATCCCTGTACAAGACTTGAGCAAGCTTTCTCTCCTCCATTTCCTTCTTCTTGTCTGCCTGCCACATGCAGCTTTTCAGATACCTGCACACACACACAGGAAGTCAATTCTAACTGAAACTGTTCAACTGAACTCTTACTTTGATGTGAACTGTTGCCTTAGCTTGATACCTTGCTACCTCCCTGTGATGCCGGATGCGGGCAAAGTCCAGAGGTGTGAGTCCAGTGCTGTCCTGGGCCAACACATCTGCTCCAGCCTTCACCAGGATCTCCACACATTCGAGGAGGCCCTCAGACGCGGCCAGGTGCAGTGGGGTCTGGCCTGAGTCGGTGGTTCTGGTTAAAAAAAAAAAAAAGAAGTCTTCTCAGCTTCATTATCTTTAGTGTCATCATCATCAACATCACTGTTGCCATCATCATAATCATCACTGCAATCATTATCCCTTGCTGCAGCTATAAACTTTCACTTTCATCTCATTGTAATCAAAAAAAAATTATATTTGCACTCCACAATATCATTTACACTTTCTATTCTAAGCGTCTCTTTTAAAAATGCTTTATTTTGGTAATATCAGTTTGATAAAGTATGCAACAGCTGAATGCTTCTGGATGCAGCTGAGAAAACTTAGAAACTAACCAAAGTGAGAAAACACAGCAGGCTACACTGAAAACTTGCATAAGGTAATATGTAACAAAGAAAGGCTCCCACGCGTTGGCATCAGCTTCGTGTTCCAGCAGGTATCTGAGGCAGGCGGAGGTGTTCGGGGAGCTCTGGAAGGTCAGGACCACGTGAAGGGGCCGGCGACCTTCGGAGTCACGGCTGTTGATCCACTCGAGCTGTGAGTCCACCAGGAGCTGAATGGCATCCAGCTGGCCATAAAGGCAGGCCACATGAAGTGCTGGCAGGCCCTGGGGAATAAAGTGTACTCTCAACACTGTCTTCTATTTTTCTATTTGTACTTTTAAAAATCTGTCCCTCAAAAGGTGAGTTAGGGGACAGAGGTGATGCCCGACAGGCCTTTTTTCACAGTCGACATTTTGATGCTGCTGCATCACAGGTGTACCTGATAACAGTAGTGATGGCTGTATAAGATTTAGATGTTAATACACCTGTGGGGTTTCATTTGCATCATGTGCATCAAAGTGACCAAAGCTTTTTTTTCTTGTAGCTACACCTGGTGATTCAAACACAGCTGCTTCATGTGTTCCAATCAGTGAGCTAAGCTGTGTGATGTGCTATGCAGCCACACAGGTGTTTTCACTTACTCTGGCTGATTAGACCGATCTTAGAATGGGCAAACACAAGATATCGGTACTTTACTCTTGCATTTTTATTTTTTATTTCTAGTCTCTCTCTAGTCAGTGATTAAACCCCTAAAAACTCATCTCATGTATGAAACTCCAGCAATGTGAATCCATGTTTCTGAGGCTGTCGTGGACACGTTAACGAGGTAATATGATGTTAATAGAAGGTTACACAGAGGAGGAAAAAGTACTCGGATATTGTGCTTAAGTAAAAGCAGCAGCACTGTATTTTAAGTAAAAGTCATGCATTTACTGTACATACAACTTATACTGTATACTGTATATATAACTTATCTTATTTTATATTTAAATCTCTTCTATTTTTTTGCTCTTTATTTTGTACTTTATTCTATATTGCACTGAAGGAGCTGCTCTTAATCTCATTGTACATGTGTATAGTGACAATAAAGGCATTCTATTCTATTCTATTAAATGTATACTTTTGTTAAAGTACTAAAATAACAGCATAAAGTATACTTATGTAGAATAATGCATGTGATATTATTGGAAATGCTTATTGATTCACTAATGTGTGTAGCTTGTCAGGAATCAATAAAGTTTGATGTCGATCTATAATATTTATTTGTTGATATTTTGTATTATTAAACCAGTTCTGCAAAGTGACTAAAGGTGTCAAGTAACATGTGAAAGTTGGAGGATAAAAGAGCAGAAAAGCGAAACAAGTATCTCAACATTATACTTAAGTGCAGTAATTGAGTAAATGTACTCAGTTACTTTCCGCTGCTTAGGCTACCTAACTTATTATCCATGTACAGCATTGACAGAGCTTTGGCCTACAGTGTTATAAATAGATAAATAAGTATTTTTTACATTTTCTCCAGACTGTCTCGTTAATAACTCACCTCTCTGTTCTGCTGCAGCGTCTCTGGGCTTCCAGCTGGGAGCATGTGGCCGCCCGGCGGAGCTCGCTGGGACGTTTTTCCTGCAAAATGAAGTCATGTAGAAACTTCGTCTGGAAATGGTAAGCTATACGAGGCATTTCAGCAAAACCTTTAATTATATATATATTTTTAAAAAGTCACTGCGATTAAAAAAAAGAAAAAAGTTTGGCCTTTAGCGAAGCGCGTCACAACCGAACTTGTTTAAGTCATGAAAAGTTGAATATGTCTCTTAAAATAACAGGCTGGCGTTCAAAGCAGAGAGCGTCACAAATGTACAGTGTGAGTTTAGACTTTAGCTGCAGAAATACAACCTGTAAGTTTTAAAATATTAGTAATTTTTTTCTTACGTCTCCCACTTTCTCGTTTTCTGCTTTTGTTGACGGCCTTCATGGTTGCCATGGAAATGTGGAAACCAGGAAACGAGCCCTGCTTTACGAATGTGCCACAGGCCCCACGATGAAATAAAGATGAATTAATAATAATAAAAAAAGCTCATTAGTGTGCTATGCTGTTCTATTATCTATTGGATTAGCAGCATTTTGCTGCATAAGTTGGTCTGATTATAACTATCTGCTAATTTTAATAATTTTACGACCTGTGGATTCTTTCATTAATTTATATTTAATAAGCTAATCATGTGCTTTGTTAAAAAAAAAAAAAAAAAAAAAAAAGAACTATAACTGCCAAACAGATTAAATAAATGAAAGCAAACAATAACCCCTCTCAACTGTAGTGGAATTGAAGTATAAAATAGAACAAAAAGTAAATGTATAAGTTAAACTGCCTCAAACTTGTATTCAAGTAGCAAAGGGCCTTAATAATTAGGCTAGTCAAGTAAATCTGGACATTAAATAATAAAGTCGACTCTTTAACTCAATATTCATTTTTTATTTTGTACATAATGTTGTTCGGTCTTAGCATATTAAATTTAGTCAAGTAAAATTTTTATTTTACACGTAACACTGAAGGGACTTCACTTGATCAGTACATAGTCGTAATCTTGTGAGGTGAATTTGTAATATTAATCCTGTCTCTCTGTTTGAAAAAACTTTGGCTCAGCATCTGCTGCTTTAAATGTCCTTTATAAATAACACTGACTAAACTTGACTAAATGTACTTTTTTGCGCATTGAACTGTGGTTTAACAGAATTATTTAAAAAAATAAACTCATAAAACAGGCCTGGACAAAAATGATGGTACCCCAAGAAAAGACTGAAAATAATGTGACCATAGGGACATGTTCAATCAAGGTGTGTCCTCTAATTAGCATCACAGGTGTCCACAAACTTGTCATCAGTCAGTCGGCCTATTTATAGGGTTACAAGTAGTCACTGTGCTGTTTGATGACATGGTGTGTGCCACAGTAAACATGGACCAGAGAGCTGTCTCAGGAGATTAGAAAGAAAATGATAGAGCAGCATGTTAAAGGTAAAGGCTATAAGACCATCTCCAAGCAGCTTCATGCTCCTGTGACTACAGCTGCACATATTATTCAGAAATGTAAGATCCATGTGACTGTAGCCAACCTCCCTGGACGTGGCCGCAGGAGGAACATTGATGACAAATGGAAGAGACGGATAATATGAATGGTAACAAAAGAGCCCAGAACAAGCTCTAAAGACATTAAAGGTGAACTCCAAGGTCAAGGTACATCAGTGTCAGATCGCACCACCCTTCAAACCTGAGACAACTGGAGCAGTCTGCTCATGAGGAGTGGGCCAGATACCTGCTGAGAGGTGCACAAGTCTCATTGACAGTTACAGAAATGGTTTGATTGCAGTGATCGCCTCAAAAGGTTGTGCAAAAAAATATTAAGTTCAGGGTACCATCATTTTTGTCCAGGCCTGTTTAATGAGTTTATTTTTTTAAATAATTCTGTTGAACCACGGTTCAAAAGCAATGTCTGATTTTCATTGCTTCATTTTCATAGAATTTTTTATTTATTATTACTTTTGTCAGATTCAAGTTATTTCTGTGACCGTTGTGGGTTTTTCTTTCATTAACCGAGGGCTACCAACAATTTTGTCCACGTGTGTATATTTGTTTCCTGAGTGAAGTACTGCAGCCTAATGAATAGTCCGCCTCATGTGGTGTCTACTTTATGGCTTCTTTTTATGTAAGTGAAAACTGAAATAGGTCGACTGGTTAAAGAACTTGAACATCTTTCTTTTCATCAGAATAAATGTTTTTTTCTTTCGTGGCCACACTGATTCATAGATACAGCCTTCATCAGCATGCCATTGCTGGCTGTTCTTCTCTCTCTTGAATTAAACAGAAATGAAAGCCCGCTTCCTTATGCAGCACATTCAATAGCACGTGTTGAGTTTGAGCTGGTGTAATAGCTCGTGACAGATAAAGGCAGTTGAGTAGTTGCAGGCATAGCAGAAATGGATACCTCCACCCTCCCGTGCCACAGCTCTGTCCTCATACGTCCCTGGTGTGCTCATATTGACAGTGCATTACGATTGCCTGCTTGCGCTTGGCCTTAGTAAAGCAGATCAATCCTGCCAGTGCTGTGGAGGCCTCAGAGGGCCCGTTTGTTCCGCTGCACCCCGGACCTGCTGCCACATGTGGGACCGATATGAACTGGAACGGTTATATTCTCCATGTCTCTGTGGGGCTGAGGGGTCGATGGGCTCATCGGGCAGCCGGCCTCCCTGATCACAGCTATTGACCATCTGACCTGTGACTGAACTGAGCGTGATGGACGGCACTTTAGTGGACACATATGCACTGAGGACAATGTGTGTCATGACTGAATACTGAGTTTACAGTGTTTGAACCATTCAGCAAAAACAAAATAAACCAACAGCTTGTGTCTGACGTACATCTTTATAATACAACAGACAGCAGGACAGTGGAGTTTTTCACCAGCAGGACAGAATAGTGCATTTGTAGGGGACTACTTGGGTATTTAAGGATGGCACCTATTTTCGTGGTGATGAAAGAACGTGTCACCCAGTGCCATTGTGTTGCTCAATATGTCTTTTAAATAATTTTTAGACTGAAGAGGAGCTAGCTCAAAACAATAACCTACATTGAGTTTTGACTGCACAACAAGCCTTTTCATGGGTTTTATTGACAGCAAGAAAGCTACTGAATACAAACCAGACATATTTCTAGAACTGTCTCTGTTAATGATGGTAAAACAATTTGAAGTGTCATAAAGTGATATTCTCACATTTGCTTACTTGCAATTTTTTAAAAATGTGTTGATGTGGGTATTTATATTTGTATGTGTTTCCCATTCTTTTTTGCAACACCTTTCATGTCAAAACAAAGAAAAAATGCAAAGGAAAATGAGTTTGAAAAGAGACACTAATGACAGAAAACTGAGACACACGTACATATAACGTCATGCCCATTGTCATCACTCTTATCAATGTCAGTTTAGCTCGCTAAAGAACTTTTTCCAGAGCTTTCAGCCGCATTTAAGTCTCTCATTTCTTTCCTTCATGTCGGTAAACTTAATGTTTGTTGTGGCCTATTGCATCGCAGATTTGCGTCACTCAGTTGTCATATATCATTTATTATTTTCACTTGTCACAATCATAACTATTAATCCATGCTCCTGATTCCCCTAATGGGATTTTTTAAAACTCCTTTTTATGTTTAAATCCTTCAATTTGTGACTTTCCGTTTTGCTCTCTTTCGTTCTCTATCTGTGAAAGTGATCAGTGTCCAGTGGAGGGTCAAGGACGGGCCACGACCCCCCAGCTTCCTGCTATGAGCTCCAACCCCCCAGAGCCTTCGCCTTTGTCACAACACAGCCTTGTGGCTTGCGGCTACTTTGGTGACGCAGACATGTGAGTGCAGAAAGAGTGAGTACATGTGGACGCTTTGTGTGTGTGCATGATAATGTGTATGCAGCCTTTGTTTGTGTGTACGGGTTAATAGTAAGAGAGCAGCACACCCCCACTGTGGCCTCAGCTGCTTCCTTTGACCTCGGTCACATGCCGTGGAGGTTGTGCGGACCCTTTGGTATAGAGCTCTTTCATGTTTGACTTTCAGCGCAAGTCCCTGGACAGCGACCCTCAGCATCACTTCTTTCTTCTGACAGTTGTGTGTTGGATTGTCCATGTACTGTCAAACTCAGTCTGTGTGTGAGTGTAAGCTCCTGAAAAGCCCTCGTATCTTAAAAGCTTTCTGACGTATGAAGTTCTGGAGCACAGTCTGCAAGAAATTAAAATCAGAGCTGTTTAAGTTCAAAGTGCCTCCTAACGTTCTCTCTCCTACTAAATACTCATTACATTAAAACAATGACACTTGTGTGTGTGTGTGTGTGTGTGTGTGCGCATGCAGCGAGTGTGCATGCATTAGCTTCAACTCATCCAGTTGCTGCAATGCAGATTAGCAATGGGCTGATCAGAGCTGTCTAAACCTGCTTAGGGCGAGAATGAAAATGAGATCATATCCCAGCAGCCTCGCGGCAGGCTCTCCCATTGGTCCATTACATCATCCACTCACATCCCATCTGCTTGCTTAGTGGTATCTGACCAATTGACCAATCAGGCTGCAGCACAGACAAATGAAACGAAATAAATGTTTTATAAGTTTTTCAGTTGTTATGTACAACAACTTATCCTTCCATTTTCTGTTATTTATTTATTTGAGATCGTACAGATTGGCTGGAATCACAGGGTGATAAGTAATTGGAGCATGCAAGAAAGAGTTCCTTTGGCTGCGAAGACAACCTCAGTTTAGGTTTTTGTGCTGTGGTGGATTTGGAAAATGTTGTGAACCCTTGTCCTGATGGGGTGCTACCCAAATTTTATGTCTTTATTGTAGAATGTTTGTCTTGTATCCTGAGAAACAGACATTTTATTATTCAGCTGCCTTTTGGAAGCAGAAAACTGGTGTATTTGGAAAAAATCTTGAATTGGAGGTTTCAGGACGAGATAAGGCAAGAAAGTTGACTGAGAAACAGCGAGGAGGGAGGGAGAAACAGATAAGAAATAATAAAGTGAGACTGTGGAAAAGAGGGAAACAGAGAGAGGGAGAAGATGA